CGCGGAGCGGGGGGGGGGGCAGTGATTGCGGCCGCGAGGGCGCGCCCTTCGGCAGGCGCGCGCTCGGCGCGCGCGCGCGTTTCCGCCGGGGGCGCGGGCCCGGCGCGCGTCGTTGCTTCTTTCCCCGAGAACTGCAGCGCGCGCTTCATTCCATCGTCGAAGGAAGCCGACCGATTTTCTGCATGTGCAATTTGCCGGGCGTTCGCGAACCAGGTCCGCGCCCCGTGCCCCGCGGGCCCGCCAGGCCGCGCCGCGCACGGACGCGATGCGCGTGGGCGTCGCGCAGGGTGGTGGGCGGCCAGGGCGAGGCGCGGCGGGGGCACCGCCCCCGCTCTCGTTCCTTTTTTCGAATCTTGCCGCCCGACGCTTGGCGCCACTCGCCAATGGCCCGATGCGTGGGCGAGCCGCGGGCTGAAGGCCGCCGCCGAAGCGACGCTTTTGCCGCGGGCGTTCGGGGCCCTTGCAATGGGGGCTGGGCCCTGCGCCCCGGAGTTCCGCGGCCCCTGGCGCGAGTGCCCCAGCCGAGCAGATTCCGAGCGTGCGCGGCCGTGGCTCGCGGCCAGTTGGGCCCGGGCCTCGGCCCGGGGCCCAGGCCCCCGCCCCCGACAGGCCGGGCGCCCGCCGGCGCGTGCGCGCGCGCGCCCGGGGGAGGGGGGGGGGCACATTTTTTTCTAATTTCTAAATGCAGGCAATTGTTTTTTCAAACTTTTGTCGAACTGTTTTCAAACTGTTATCAAACCTGTTCCAAACTTTTGCAGTTTTTTTTTTTTTTTTTTTTTTTTTTTTTTTTTTTTTTTTTTTTTTTTTTTTTTTTTTTTTTTTTTTATTAAAAAAAAAAAAAGAAAAAAAATCCAAATCGGCCCACATATGTTTCCTTTTTTTGGTTGAAAAATTTTTTTTTCTTTTCAAACTTTCTCCACGCTTCTTTTACACTGATTTCAAACTTCCAAATCCAGGCCAACTTTTTTATTCTTTTCATACATCTTTCACACTTTACTCAAACTTTGAAGTTTTTCATTTTTCACAATTTTTCTCACTTCCAAAGCCGGGCAAACTTGTTTCAACTTGTTTCACTCTTTTCACAATTCCAAATCGGCCAACACTTATTCAATGTTTTTCAAACTTGTTTCAAACTTTTTTTCCAAACTTTTTTCATTTAAGTATTTTCAAACTTTTTCCCAAATTTCCAAGTCGGCCCATTTTTTCAAACTTTTGCCAAACCTTTTTCAAACTTTTTTCAAACTTCGAAATCCGGGCGAATTTTTTTCAAACTTCTAAATCCGGGCCCTGCGGCCGCTGCTCGGGCCCAGCCCTGGTGGGCCGGGGCCCGGAAGGCATCGGGCGCGGGCTCCGCGCCCGTGCTTGCGGGCGTCGAGACTGCGGGGCGCGGGCCCTTGCCGTGCATGCGCGCGCCCGGCGACGGGGCCAAGCGTAGGCGGACGCGCGGCGCCCCGTCCTGACGACTCGCGCAGGCCGGGCCTCCCGCGAGGGCCCCCGGGCCGGGGCTCGGCTTCCCGTCCTGGCGACGCTCGCGCGCTCCAGGCATTGTTTGGCGGGCGGCCGGGAGGCCCGCCCCCCTGCCCCGCTGGCGCCAGCCTGGGGCCGCGTCCAGGGGGGACCGACGGCGGCCGAATTCTCCAGAGGCTCCTCCAGAGGCTCCTCGAGGGGCGCCTCCAGGAGCTCATCCCGGGGCCCACGCTTTCGATGCCCCCCCATCGCAGACGCTGGGCTTCGCCCGCTCGGCCCCCCCCCGGCCCGCCCCGCCACGCCCCAACAGCAGAGGTTTGTCGTTCACTGCTCGTGGGTCCGCGCGCGGGGGTGGAGATAACGCAAACAGTTCCGCGCGCTCTGCGCGCCGTGCTGTACGCGCTGCAAACCGTTCAGCGCGCTTCGCGCGCCGACCTGCGAACGTCGTTAACCGTCCAGCGTTTTGCGCGGCGCACTGTAATTCCCGCAAACCGTTCAGCGCGCTTCGCGCGCTGAGTCGGGCATGGCGTAGACCGCCGAGCGCGATTCCTGCGCCGAGCTTACCGCAGCAAGTGCAGGGCGCGCAGCGCGCGGCTCCCCCCCCGCCCCCGACGCCCGCGCGCTCGGCGGGGCCGCTCCGGCCTGTCTGGGCGACGACGCAAATGCAGGGGTGAGCGCCCATCGCCCTCGGGCGCTTCGTCGAGGCGTAAATATTGTAAACCGTTTTGCGCGCTTCGCGCGCCGAGCTGTCAACGTTGCAAATTGTCTTGCGCGCTTTGCGCGCCGAGCTGTAAACCGCCCAAACCGTTCAGCGCGCTGAGTCGGGCATGGCGTAGACCGCCGAGCGCGATTCCTGCGCCGAGTCTGCCGCGGCAAGAGCAGGTGACGCAGCGCGCGGCTTGCCCCCCCGCCCCCGGCGCGCCCGCGCACTCGGCGGGGCTGCTCTGGCGGGCTGATCGATGACGCAAATGCAGGGGTGAGTGCCCATCGCCCTCTGGCGCTTCGTCGAGGCGTAGATATTGTAAACCGTTTTGCGCTCTTCGCGTGCCGAGCTGTCGACGTTTTCAATTGTCTTGCGCGCTTCGCGCGCCGAGCTGTAAACCGCCCAAACCGTTCGGCGCGCTTCGCGCGCTGAGTCCTGAGTCGGGCATGGCGCAGACCGCCGAGCGCGATTCCTGCGCCGAGTTTGCCTCGGCAAGAGCAGGGCGCGCAGCGCGCGGCTTGCCCCCCCGCCCCCGACACACCCGCGCACTCGGGTCCTGTAGTTCTGCGTTATGCTCTCACATTCAACTTACCTTCATCCCCCCACTGGGCGCATTTGTCCCGTGTGTCTGTTTCCAGCAGGTTGTTGGTCCATGGTGCGCGTCGTCTGCCCGTCCAGGCTCTCCTCCCTTGTCCTGGCGCTCGCGTTCTCTCGTCCCGCGCTTCTGTCTCTCCTCCGCCCCCTTCCACACCCCCCTTCCTCCCGAGTTGTTTTTCTCTCTTCTTCTCCGCCCCCGCCCCATCTATCTTCCCTCGGCGCCTTTTCCGTTGCCTTTTTGGCTCGAGCGCCCCTCCCGCCGCGTCGGGGGCTCGCTCGCCCTGCGCCCCGGCGTGGAGACGCGCCGAAGACCAAGAGGCGGCCACGCGCATGCATGCGCGCTGATTTCGCCTCGCGCGTTTCTAGCCCTTTCGTTGCCATGGCGGCTGGTTTCCAAGATCGGGGCTGCGTCGTTGACGACTTCTGGGCGGCCTCCTTCCGCGCGCCCGCGCGGAGGAAGTTTGGTCGATTCGCCGGCTTCGGATTCACCCTCTCCAGGGGTGCATCGGGGGCGCGGTGGAGCGAATTGTTCGGCATGGGGCCTTCCTGGCCCAATGAACAATGGACCGCTGCACTTGCGCGTTTCACGAGCAAGGCAATCGCAGGGCAAAGGCGGGCGGGCGCGGATAATCGGCTTCGATAGATGCGGGCGCGCGCAACCCGACGGATTGCGACGCGGCCCCTTCATGTTTGCCCGTGGGCGTCGCGCGCGCCAACACGTGAATTCGCGATTCAGGAAAGGCGCGCGTTGGACACCATGGGCGTTGAGTGCTTTCAGCGCGTGCCGTTCGCGCAATGGCGGTAAACTGCCGCAGCTGAGAACATGAACATTACTGCGAGATTGTACTTCGGCTGTTCGCTGAAGTTACACTTGTACTTCGGGTTTCCGTTGAAGTCACACTTGTACTTTGAAGAATCGCCGAAGTCACACTTCTTGCTGTGGGCGCATCTAATTTCACACATTGGTCTCTTTGCGTTTTCACACTCATACTTTGGCCGCTTCGTGATTGCACACTTTTCTCACACTTATTCCATACATTGAATCAAACATTGTTCTCCGCAGTTTGCCTCCCTCTGCACGCCCTAACGCTACCGCAGCATTAGTTGATCACTAGGGCACAGGACCACGATCGAAGTACGCTCTGTTTTCGATCGGCACGTCGCCGTTACCGGGGCACTACCAGACCACGATCGGAACACTATGTGGTTCACACTTCCCACCACACCACCATCGGACCAGTATCGGAAGCTGTATGCTGGATAGAAAGTACAGCTCCGTGGCCAGAGCAGTATCGGAATCCTTTTCGAAACAGCATAGAGTCCCGACCAAAGAATCTGATATTCTATCGTTTCGATGGCGCCTGCCCGGTAGTCCATCTCGCGACCGCCTGTTGGCGCGAATGGGTCACCCAGAATGCTGCCAGCTCTGCGGATGACGCTGTGGAGATCCCAGCGACCTTCGACCCCCATGCTTTCTTTTCCTACCAGCTTAGCCTCTAGGGCCCTCTCCCGTGAGCCGAAAGCCCAGGCGGTGAGCGTCCTCCATGGCAATTTGCCGTCTCCACCTGCGTCCCTCCGTCGTTTCGCCTTTCACTCCTTCGCTTTCTGAGTGCGCGCTGGTGGATCGTCCGCCCGTCGCGTCGCCTGTCGTGCTGCCCGTGTCGCATACGTCGCCTTCCGTACGGGCCCTTTATCCGGCCAGTGTTCGATTCGTCTTCCTTCTCTGCCCGCAGTCCACGCCCAGATGGCACACGGCGTTGCTTCCCTCTGAGCCATGCGCACGCGCAGCCCCGGCCGTTGCAGTTGTTTTTCCGCCTCGACGTTGCGCGCGAAGCCGCGACCGCTAATAATTGTGTGTGTGTGCATGAATGCGTCCGTGAGTGCGTGCGTGTGAGGGTGTGTGTGTGTGTCTAGTGCGGACCCAAGACATCCGCACGGACTTCCGAAAGCTGCATGTTCGTGTTTTTGTATGGTGTGTTCGACTTCTTCCAGTGAGAGGATGGCTTTCTTTCGGGCTGGATCGGCACGGTGAGGAGCCGAAGCAAGAGCCAGAGGCAACGATGAGGGTGTATGGGCTCGGTGGAACGCGCCGGCCGCCCCAAAGTCCATGCACAGACGACAGGGTGCCTGATGGCCCACCCCCGCCCAGAGGCACATGGTTTCGCATTCGATGGGTTATCGCCGATCTACCGGCGATGCGTCGCCGATTCCAGGTCAATGTCCCCTTCTTGAGCCAGCTCCCGGGATTTTGGGTGGCAGCTTGCGCCCGTACTGCTCTTAGCTTCAGTTGCTCCGCGCACAGAGAAACTCTACCAGAGCGTAGGGACTTGCCGAACATGTCGGGCCCGAACCTGGCGTTCTGACATGGTGACCACCGAAGCTGGTTGGTCTTCGTCGCATGTGCTGCACCCCACAGGGCCTCTCTGCCGTCGCGGCCCGCTGGAAGACAGACGGGTTCTGTACGGTACGGCTTGCATGGCGGCGAGTTGCCTCCTTGGACGGGGTTGTTCGTGCTTCTTTAAGTTTCGGTCACCATGGGCCCCCTGGCGGCGCCATCAGCGCCGCCCCTGGTGCGCTCCGCGCCAGGGAGGAGGGGGTCCAGCCGAGAGCCAAGATTCGAAGACGCCTACGGCGAATCACCGCCGCCCTTGCCTCTCGGAATCGCCCATGCGGCCGAGCATTGTGACAAGAACTCTGCTAAGCTATCGGGCCATGTGTTTCCCCAGCCGTTGTGAACATCTTTCGGGGAACACTTGGGGGAGGATGGCGGGGAAGATCAGGAGGAGGAGGAGGAGGAGAAGGAGGAGGGGGCATCTTCGGAGCCCCTGGGGGCACTCTTGGTGCCTCCTGGGAGCTTCTTGGGGAGCCTCTTGAAGGCATCTTCGGGGCCTCCTTGGGCTCCTTGGGGGCGTTGGTGGGCTTCTTGGTGTTTTGTTTGGCCGTCTCAGGACATTCCTGGCCCGTCGGAAGTTGTCTCGGGGGCCTCTCTGGGCCGACTTGGGGCCCTCTTGGGGTGCTCCAGGGCCATCTTGGAGGCCACCTTGGGCGTCTTGGAGACCTCTTGGGCCGTCTTGGGACCCTCTTGGGGGCCTCTTGTGCCGTCTTGGGCCATCTTGGAACCATCTTGGGCCGTTCTGAAGCCGTCTTGGGGGCCTCTCTGGGTCGACTGGGCCCTCTTTGGGCGCTCCAGGGCCGTCTCGGAGGCCATCTCGGGCGGTTTTGCGGCCTCCTGGGCCAAATTGTGGCCCTCTTGGGGCTGTCTTGGGTGCCTCTTCGCAGTCATAGGGGCCATCTTGGAAGCTTCTTGGGCGATATGGGGGGCGATCTTCGGGGGCTCTGGCCGCCTCGGGCCGTCGGGAGGCCGAAAATAAACAAACGCCGGATTCCTTCAACAATAAGTGATGTTGGTTTCTTCGTGGCGTCTTCTTGGAGGCCTGCTGGGAGGCGTCTTGGGCCGTCTTGGAGACCTCTTGGGCGACGCTTGGGCTGTTTGGGGCCTATTGGAGCTTTCTTGGGGCGTCTTGGTGGTCTCGTGGCCCGTCGGAAGCCGTCTTGGGGGCATCTCTGGGCCGACCTGGGGCCCTCTTGGGGTGCCCCAGGGCCGTCTTGGAGGCCACCTTGGGCGTCTTGGAGGCCTCTTTGGTGGTCTTTGGGCCCTCTTGGGGCCGTCTCGGAGGCCTCTTGGGCCGTTCTGGGCCCTCCTTGGAGGCCTCTTGGGCGATCTTGGGGCCATCTTAGGGACCTCTTCAGCGTAGTGGGCCTTCGGAAGGCTGACATGAAGCAAATGCCAACATTGTTCAACACTTGAGGACACATAGATGGTTGTAGCCTCTTCGCGCCTTCCTGGAGGACCTCTTGGAGGCCTCTTGGGCCGTCTTGGAGGCCTCGTGGGGGCCTCTTGGGCCGTGTTGGACCATCTTGAGACCCTCTTGGGCCCCCAAGGCTTGTCGGCCACAGATGACCTGGACCAAGCGAACCTTGAGCGATCTCCGCTGTCGGATAGCGGAAGTTTCTCAAAATTTGAACCATCTATGCGGCGTCAGATCCCAGAGTCCATGTCGTCACGATAGGAAGCAGCCGCACGCCTTCAGTGGAGCCTTCTGTTTTTTATGCGAACACGTTTGTACGTGATTGTTGCTCGAGTAGTTTCTTTCAAATCTGTTCGCGCAATCGTGCACACAATGTTGGCACACATCTTACAATCGCTCAACCTGTTCGCTCAACACCTATGGACAAGCTAACATCTATGTTCGTACGACGTCAAAGTTGGTACCCTCCGCTTTGGTGTGTCCAAGGGATTCACAGGACGTCACACCTCATCTCGCTATTCTGCGACAGGTCATGTAGGAGCTTCCGCTAATTCGCTTGCATGGGATCTTCGTAACATGTTGGCCTGTTGTTTCTATGGCGTCATACGTTTGCCCGAGTGTCATTTGACGTGCTAGTCATATGGCAGTTTTTTTGTGTGAGCCAGGATGGCGAGACAGTATTCGCTGGCGATCTGGTTCCATCAGCTCGATGTGAGGGTCAAGAGAACGCACATTGATGCCCCATTTCGGTAGCGATGTTAGTGCGTCTCTTCGTAATTGCCCCATGTCCGTTCGTTCACTACCGATTGTAGTCACTTCTTGGCATCTGCCACGGCCGTCAGTCATCCCAGACCTGTGCGTTGCATTTGCCTCGCTTCCCTGCTGGGGCGCCCCCTCCGCCAGTTCATACCCACCTTGTTAACCTAACCTCCTGTTCTCCCTGCCTGGTCCCTCCATTATTCTCCATCCCATCGTTTTTACTTCCCTCCTTTTTCCGTCCTCCCTGCCTGGTGCTATAGATTTGGTATATACCAAGTTTGGCACAGGCTTCTCACGAGTAGACGATCTGGCTTAATGCCCCCAGAGATCGATTCGATTCCTCCCTGCCCTGCGCCAGCGCCCTAGCCACCACCCCCAGTGGCCCCCGCACCGGATCTCCCCCTCCCTCTCTCAGCCTTTCTCTTTTCCTCATCCTCCACTCCGCCTCCTTCCACCCCCCTCTTTCCCCCCTTCCCCCTTCTCCCCCCTCCCCCTGCCCTCCCTCCGTTTTCCCTGCCTCTCAATTCCCGCCCAGTCCTAGCATCCTCTTCCACCCTGCGCCCCTCCCTTCCTTTCCTTCCTCCGTCCCCCGCGAGAGAAGATGAGGCTCCTGTTCAGCACCAGGAGGAGTCCCGGCGGGCTCCAGATGCGGTGCCATCTGGGGGCCCCAGTGTCCCCAGAGCTCCCCGCGCGGGGTCCCCGCGGAGGTTTTGTTTTTTTGGAAGGTCCCTGCCGGGGCCCGTGTGGAGGCCTGCAGAGGAGCCGTGTCGGCCCGCGACGCCTCCCCGAGCTGGGGGACCACACCGCCAGAGCAGCCTCCCTGGATGCCTCGCGCTGGTGGTGGTGGTGCCTCCTCTCCAGGCGGTCCGCCGGGCCTCTCGTCCCGGTCCCATGAGACCTCCAGACGGTGCTCCAGACGGTCCTGCAGGCCTCTTCCCATGTTCGAGGCACTGTCCTCCAGGCCTCTGGGCCTTTCCCACGGGGCCGGTCTGCGCGGTTTCCAGTCGGCCCCTGGGGCCCGAGGCCCACTCTCACAGGGCCATGGCTGCGGCAGACTGGTCGTGCTTCTTCGTTTGTGTTTGCACGCCTCGGGGGGATGTCGAGCGCGTCCTGGATTCAGGAGGAGCCTTCCTGGGTGCCTTGCGCTAGTGGTGGTGGGTGCCGCCTCTCCTTCTTCCCACGTTCGAGGCACGGCCATCCAGGACTCTCGCGCCTCCTTCCCGTGGGCTGGTCTGGGCGGTTGCCGGTCGGCCCCCCGGGGCCCACAGCCAACCTCCACGGGGCCACGACTGCGGCAGAGTGGTCGCGCGCATTTTGTTCGAAAAGCCGTCGGGGGATGATGAGCGCGTGGGGGCCCTTACCGGGCCGCGGGACCGTCAAATAACGATGCAGGATGAGAAACCGGTCCCCGTGAACGGGTCGAGACATCAGGGGATTGACGTTATCCAAAAATCACCACGTCGGGGCCCCTCCTCCTCCTCCTTCTCCTCGAAGCTCGATCCTCCCGGGGAAACGTGAGACTCGAGTGCGCTGGAGCTCGGGTTTGCCCACGCTCCTTGACGAACGCGTCCTGGATTCTGACGGTTCAGTTTTCGTGGGATGTCTGCAGCGGGAGTTCGCGTCAGATTTCAGATTGTGTATCGTCATTTTCGGGGTGGCCCCGTGAGGCCAACTGGAGTTGTACGTCTCCCCGATCTGTGCTCGTGGTGCTGGTGGCCTCGGTTGGGGCGGCGGGGTTCGTGGGGGCGGGGCGGGGGGAGGCCCCCAGAGGCCAAGGGAGGGAGAGGAGCGCGCAAAGGCCTCCACCCCCGATCCTCGAGGGTTCTTCGAGTTCCCAGCGGCCGTTTTCTGGCAAACCGGCCCCCACCATGCCCAGCTTCGAAGTACACCCCTCGGGCAAATTGCCCACATCCTGGACGCGAGCGAGGAGATCGTCGCGTGAGGGAGCAGTTCCCATGCCTCTGGCGTCGTGATGCAAGGGCGCCCCGGAAGGCGCGAAGTTATTCGCGCTTCGTGGTTCGGCTCCGATTTCTCACCTTTCTCTTCTCCTTCGGGGGGCGGCGCGAGAGCGCGAAGTTTTTCGCGCGTTGCGCAGCGCGAAGCGCGAAGTTAGGCGCCCTTGCAGAAGTCCCGACCCCTGCCACGGGGCCGGTCGTTCAGAAGGCACCGTTCTGTGGACGGGCCCGGGTCGGGGAGCGGCAGCGGTCCCCTTGGGGCTCCTCGAGCGCGTTCCACTGCTTGCAAAGTGCTTACCCGCAAGCGTCCGAGTCCGATGGATCGTAGATTCCGCGCGGCGGGTCCAGGCCATTTGCGAGCATTTTTGTTGCGAGTAGTGGAGTGCGGTGTCTAGGGGCCGAAGGCCGCGAGAAGCCTCAATCTTGCTTTGCGCAGAGCGACGGAGGTCAGGGCCTCGGAGGGGGCCCGCTGCGCGCAGGCGATGTTTTCGTCCCCGTCCCCAGACCTAGAACAAAAATGACGCCGCTTAGACGAGGAGGCGAACCCTGGGATACACCCCAAAGGGATATTGTGGCGCACCCCTATATCGAGGATGGACGCCCCTCCACCGCATATCCAAGGGTTGGGCCCCAAATTTCTGCTGCCCCGCGAGTCCTGGGAGCTGGGTCGACAGGTCCCCGGGAATGTCTCCGCATGCCCGCGATAATGAAGCATCCCCCGCTGAACCCGTGAGTCATGATATCGCATGAGATATTTTTCTTTGATAGGCGGGTGGGGGGGGCGCAGGATGATGAGGACGATGCGGTTGTGGGCCGCTCTGGGGCTCTGGTATAATATATCTGATAGCAGAGGATCTCGAGCCTTTCAGGCTTTGAGTCGGGACCGTCAAGCCCTCTCCAGCGCAACCCTAAAGGGAATGCAGCCGCATAGCAGACCAATCAATCGAAGTCGGTAACTCGCCCAAGAGGCATGTTGCGCCTGACTGGCCAGAGCCGCGCTTAGGTCAAGACTCTGGCTGGCGAGGCTGGAACCACTTATCTTTGATAGGCGAGTGGAGCGGCGACACTTTGATTGGTCCGGCATTTTGATTTGTCTGTATATCCTTCTCGTCTTCGCTTTCCATCCTTCTTCTCCTTCCCGTTCTCTTCTTATATGTCTTGTTTTCTTTAGTTGTCCTCTTGTGTTCCTTCTCTTCTCTATCTCCGTCTCCTCTCCCCCCCCTTCTCCCTCCCTCGACGCCCCAGCTGAACCTGTTTGTCGCCGTCAGCACTGATCACTCCCAAAGAGCAACCATAAGTACTTCTCCACGACGAGTAGGGAATAATTACTTCCGCCGAGAGGGCGGTGCAGCTCGCAGGTGGGAGCAGGCGGTCAAAGCATGGGCGGCGTGCTGAAGGCATCCGTTTCCGTGCACATTTTCACCCATTGCTCACGCGCTGTGGCCGGCGCAAGGCTTCTGTTCTGTTCTGTTCTGTTCTTACAACTAGAACTCGTTAGGACCGACACTTTGATTTCTGTTTGAAATCTCCTCCTCATACTCATCCCTCTCCTCGTCGTTCTCCTCCTCCTTCTCCTGTTCCTCCTCCTCCGTGCTCGTCCCACCCCATCCCCGCCTATGAACTTATCAAAGCCCCCGAAGTCTTTGATGGCAATGGGAATATGAAACCAGAAGAACATCTCAGATGTTTTCCACACCGCTGCTGCGCTGACTCAAGGGCCCTGGAAGGGTTTGGAACATAGTGCAATGGTACGCTCTCGATGCTACCGTCATGCTCTGCACAATCTGCACACTACACAAGATGTACAGCGTATATCTCACACCCGTGAAAGAGTAAAACACATAGAACAGAGGGAAGCCACCTCTTCAATATAACATGCGAAGTTCGAAACTCCACAAGGTCAACATCTTCTGCACAAACTGCCGAAGCCAGCAAAACAAACGGGCATGAACAAGCGGCATACATTGAATGCAAACTTGCGCCTGCAAGATAAACTATGACATGCACAACTGCATACATATGAACTGCAAACCTGCGTCTGCAAACTGAATATGGAATGCACAGCTAGCAATAACACAACTGAGCGTACCAAAAAGCAGAAGCTGCGCTGGTGTGTTGGCTCACTCACCGCAGCCCTTGGGGCTGTCGTCTGCTAGCCGATCGTAGCCGTTCTGCCGCTGATTGGGTTCGGTCGTCTCCACTGGAACTTCGCCTGCTCGCTTGAATCCATTCATCTTGTGACAGAATCGCCACTGATCTCCCTGCAGCGGGTAGGTGACCATACTCTGTACGCCGACCGTCCGCCGTCGCACCTGCTTGTGGTTGCTGCTCGTGTTCTTGAGGTGGATGGTCGTCTCCTTGTCGATGCTGGTCGTCGCTGTCGCCTCGGTCGTCTCATGCTTGTTGCTTTTCTCAGTCTGGTACTTCACACTGCAGTCGTCTCGATGCTCCATAGACTCTCGCAATACATAGTAGACTGCTGGAGTTGCCACTGCCATTCCAATCACAGTAAACATTAATGCATCCCAGATGCCTCCAGAAAACCACGAACACTTCGCAATCTCATCATAGTAGTACTTGTACTGTGTGTGGTAGTCGAACTCTGGAGTGTAGGTTGCCGCCGACTTGCAACAGCACGTCGCAAAGACCGCCAACTGCATGAGTGGTGGTCTCGCCTTAGTAGCTGGTGGCGTCTCCATCTCACTCTTCTTGATGATCTCCTGTCTCTCCTCGTTGGTCTTCTTCTTGGCTGTCGTAAACGTAGGGTCGTGTTGTAGCTGAAGTCGTCCAGCTCGAAGTCTGTCTGCTAAGAGTTGTCAGGCCGCTAACTTCGTGAGACCATCCGCGTACTGCCGCTCTGATGAGACCCACTTCAATCGCGTCTTTGTAGCATCCATCCGCTCTCGTAGTGCCAATACCTCGATGCTGTTTCGCTTGTCCTGGAAATTGGTGATACTCTCCTTCTTGGCTGCGTCGTAGAGTGCCTTCGCATCGATCACGAGTGCTGACTCTCCTGCGTAGTGCGTGCTCTCGTCAGTGTTGGCGTTCACTTTGTCGTAGATGAGAGCTGCCCAGAATCGCCTCGCACATGCTAGTGCGTCCATGCCTGCTGCCGCTGCTTGGGATTCTGCGTGTAGTGATGACCTGGCTAGTCTCATCAACTTGAACGACTTCCAATTAACAACGCAGAAATCGGAATGCTCGC